TGCGAGCCTTGAACACATTTCGGTGAGTTTATCCAGAGAGCACGAATACACTTTTTGTCAGCGACCACGAATTCACTTTTTGGCAGCGACCACGGTCACAAACTCCACGGAAACCAGCCAGACGGTTGCGGCGACTCCTCTGCCGCCACGGCACCCACAACGCTACTTCGTTATCTTCGCCATACTAACGGACCCGGACCGACATGTTGGGCTGTGGCGCCGCCGCTGGGTCGCGCGCCGTTCCTAGCTCATTTCGGCCGGAATTTCGAAAACTCCCGGAATTCACGACTTCTGGAAGGACAAGGGGTTTCGAATCAGGCATTCTGCTGCTTGCTACTAGGCTAGCAGGGAGAGATTCTCATTCCGAAGATGGATCGAAGATACGAAGGAAGTCATAGCGAGGGCAGCGGCCGGAGTAGGCCTAAGGCGAAGCCTACGTCGCAAATAACAAATGCGTCTTTTTTTTAAGGTCTACCACGAATCTTCTCGGCGCCCTTGCTCAAAACTTGAAGAATCCATCTACCGCTTATGGCGAGGCAACCATGCTTCGGAAGCGATCATCACGTGCAAGGCACTGATGGCGCATGGCGCGGTGCGGGGGATGGGACGTGCGAGATATAGAAAACCGCGGAGGTCGCTCCAAGGCCGCGAGCTACTGACACCTCGATCACGAGATAACATCTACCGGTTCGATCACGACGGAAAGCGGCATTAGACCATGAGACGAGACTGGGACAGTAGAGATGATTTCCGGGGCTGCGAACTCACTCAGAATCACGGGAGGAGAAGAGTAAGGGCCGGGTGGGTAAAAGCAGGGCAGGAGCATTCGCGGAATCCACTTCTTGAAACAAGACCTCGATCATGAAGCAATGAAAAGTGATGCCGAAAGCTCGGAGAGGTCCGAGGATCTCACAGCGCACGACCGGTCTTCGTCGATCCTTCAAACGGTCGAACGATATCGTGGATCGTAGAGCAGTCGAACAGAGTTGAAGGGAAAGAGCTACTAGAGAGAGCAAAGACTTCAAGAACCCCGAGACCTCCGGAATAGTCAGGGATCAGGCTGAGCTCAAGCTCCCAAGTAAACGGGTCCGGCGACTCACGCTAATCGGGGCGTACATCCGCAGAGGAGGCACAGATTTCGCTCATGACGCGAGCCCTTAACACACTTGAGGGAACTGAGAGACATGACGGAGATACCGTTGAGATCAATCACTTCAATTCAGGCAAACACGGCCGGACGCTCGCCGCGATTGCTTACGCAGTACACGACCGTTTCGTTATCTTCGACAGACTAATGGATCTGGACCAACACGTAGGGCCATGGCGCGCCGCTGCCACCGCCGCCGCGCGCAATTCTCTCTCGATCGAGCGAGCAGACCTCATTTCGGCTGCGCATTAGAATCCCGAAAACTTCCGGACTTCTGACTCCCTACAGGTCGAGGGATTTTGATTCAAGCATCTCTGCGCCGGCCTCGCAGAGAGAAATTCCCGCATAGAGATGATACATAGAGTGATGGGACGAGGGACGTCTTTAGCAAGGGCAGCGGCCAGGAGGCGCTGTAGGCCAAAGCGGAGAATAGCGAGGGACAGAAAATTTCCTACGATAAGTAGCGAAAGGCAAAGCCGCAGGCGCGAGCCCAGGATTTTTTTGGGGGAAGGAGGGCCATCGTCTTGATGGGGGCAAACTACCGATGATGATGAGCCTCAACATGGAAGTCCATGGGCCAGAAAGAGATCTTGAGGGGGGCCATGGCCCCTTGCCCCCCCCTCTGGGCACGCCACTGCAACGCCGCCCCGGAACGAGAAAACGGATGTGGAACGAGCCTAAATGCGGGCGGGCCGCGCCCAGGCTACAGGGCCCTCGAACCCGGGTTTATCGCGAGCGATTCGACATGGGACCTGAGGATTGGAATCGGAATCCGTGTAGGGGGTGCGAGGATGACTGCCGTGAGTCTGTAGGGGAGAACGGCGAAACCGAGGCTTCGAAGAGGCGCGATCTTCTTATCGCGTCGGTCCCTCCACTCACTCCAGCAAGCTGCGTCGGCGCTCAAACTTTTCGCTTACTCATGGAGCGTTAGAGCAAAGCCTGGGGAGACTTTTTCCCATATCCTGACTGGCTTCGGAGCTGAACAGCCTAATCGGCGAGCCTTTGTGGTGGAGTCGGATAGATTGCGTAACCCAGAGTATCGGGGAGAGGTTGGCATCCGGGCCTCCACCTACTCTCGGCGCCATACGATTCCCGTTTTCCGCTCGAACGGAGCGGCGATTCATCGTCTGCTTTCCATGCTTCTGTGACTTTTATCGGGGAAGCCGTTCGGCGAGTCCCGGGTTATGTGTTGCCGTTACGTTTTCCCTTCCTTTCCCCTCGATATTTCTCAGCTATCCGTGGAAAAGACGGAACCGCGGGGAGACTCGATATAGGGAAAATAAGTCATTGAGAACAAAAGATGGAGGGAGGGCGAATTCCGATCCGGGCTGCCTATCAAAGGAAGCGGACGAGATGGATGAAGGACATTGTGAAGCTTCATTGCCATTATCGTCCTGAGCAGCATTCCGATTGCGCTTAGCGGGTGTGCTTTCCTGCCGGAATCCGGACCGCGCCAGATAGCCTAACGCAGTCGGGATGTCTTATGTAGAACAGGGAAACCGACGAAGACCTACGAATCAAAATATTCTTTAGTCCATTTGATTGAGGAACTTTCTGTGGTCTATTACGAAATCGGGACCGGATCAAGATGTTGAGATGGGGAGTTGTCAGCGGCCTTCTGAAGAGATGCCAATCGAACGAGCATGCATCAGACGGTGGGTTCCAGCGGAACTTAACTGCGATGGGGACATCGATGGAAGAAGTTATCGAAAAGCCAATGATAACGACGGATGAAATCACGTTGAAAATGAAGCACGAATATTGAAGCTGTTCGAGAATTCTTCAGGAGCGCGAGAAACGGACGCCTCCGACATCATACAATGGCTCGGTTCGTCACTTTTATCGCAGATATCGGACGGCAAGTACATATAACGGGCGCATGAATGCTTGGCGAATATGTTCGCAATCGTATCGATACTTTCACTCTGATCGGCGTCGCTGTGAGGACTCCGAGTCCGAGGACTCCTTTTGCATGTACTGATCAATGGCCGTCTCTATCTGATCTGGCTGTTATTGATATGGATGTGCACCGCGTACGTGAATCTCTTCTGAAATTGATGGCGCTTCCCCGAACAACACACGGTTGAACTTCTTCACGATGGAACTCGGTGCTCAGAATCCCGCAGCCCTCCTGGACAGTGCCTCGTAACGAATGTGCTGATTGACTCTGACGAACTACGAAATCACTATATCGAAATTTGAATACAACTATTTCTATACGGTATACGGCCCGGTCAGAGCTTGTTGACCGAGTCGTAAACTCGGCGCAATGCAAGGAATTTCGACAGCACACTCGAGACTCGGAAGACAAGAATGAATATTTTATCATACTATGCTCCTGCTCTGTTGCTCTCGCTGGATTTTTCTCCTCACTCACTCGCTTCGGCCTACTGCCTGATATCGATCTCTCCCGCGGAGAAGTGGACCATTTGAACTCTTGTGGAGGGGTAGGCCAGATCGATGTAACTGATTCGGAATCTGCTAGCCATCGCTGCAAGGGTTTCAACATATTCGTCTCATCGCGAGCTACCGCCCCTCGCTGTTCCGAGTGATAGTGTTGATTAGGGGTGCGCTTTGTTCGAACCTCCGTACCCCGTTCCAACCAGGAATCTCCGGCGAGAGAATTGCATCCTGTATGCACATACATACATGTGTCTGAGTGGTCCGGTCATTCATGTGCATGAGTGATGAATATGCTCATTCTGGCCCGTCACCGCTCCTCCAGAGTGTGTTTGGACTCTGCTTCCGCAGTGATCTTCCCTCTCGAATAACCGAAGTTGCTCCTCTGCTTCGCGGGTAATCATTCTTGTGAAGATACTGATGAGGAAAGCTCTCGGGACTACACTCCGGATAGAGGCCTCGAAACTAAAAAAAAGTGACTGCGCGGATCCCGGAGGACGCGCTGTTCTCCGGCAAGCCTGCTTCATAGCTTCGCCAAGGTCTGCAACGAAGGAACCCCACCATTATCGAGGACGAGGTTCGGCCCGGACAATTTTCTTCGAGTGGTTCGTCCACGTCTTGAGTGAAAGTTCGCCCCGAATCATCAGGGGCGCCCAGTCGTGATCTCATATCAGTCTGTGATATCGAAAAAGGATTGTGGTAGAAGTTGGGAGATTAATCGCCCTCTTTTCGGGGACGAGGGCATACCGATTCGGGACAAACCTGTCTCGGCATATTTCATCCAGATCCATAGATGTAACCGGAGATTCCGCCGAGGAGGATGGAATGCTCAATCCTATACCCGGCTCTTTCGGGGATTCCCTATTCTGAAATATCCGACACCCGCCCAGATATGCTCTTCTGCCCTCATGAGTCAAGTGATGAAACAGGATGCAAATCACAAATATGTCAAGAAGCGGAGTCCCTGAGGGGTGATCAGAGTCTTTCCGAGCGAGATCGTGTTGTGGAATCCTGCTGATGGGCTCTGCGCCAGAAAAGGAGCGGACAGCCCGATCCCGCTCAGAGTCTCAGCAAAGATCATCAAAAGAATTCTCTCGACCCTCCCGCCGTGGAACTTCAATCCTGTCGGATTCCAATCCCCGTTGCTTGTACGCGTCGAGCCGAATTCTCAGCTCCATTGATACTCCTAATGGCTCGAGCAGCTTGGCGAAAGTGAGACAAGCAAGTCACTGGACGACCCGACACTTCGACATCCGCACCCGACACGGACACCCGTCCTCATGTTTATTGCTGACGCTGCCGGTTAGGGGAAGATACAGACAGTACGTGGAATACTGTAGAGGAGTAAATATCTCCTGGATTGATAACCTTTTCATGCTCAGGGAGCCAGGAGCTAGTTGCATCGATGAGGCAACTTCGTCACCGTTTCCGGAGTGATGCACAAGGATCTTGAGTGTTTGTGAAGCGCTGACAAAACCGTGGGTCTTGACATCAACTCCCCATAGCCAGATTCAAGCCTCGTATGACCCTTCTCGAAGAATGGAATCGCTGACATCCTCGGCTATGCTGTCGGAAATCGTAGCTACCCTCCATGAGGACATGACCGCAAGTGAGGTCATGGTTGCCTTGATATCTGGAGCAGCTCTGAGCTACAAGTACGATTCGGCATTGCGACCATTCCCGTCTATGTTCATTCGGGGCGGCGAGAAAGACATATCGGCTCTCCGGATGGCACTCAGTCGGATTCCCAAGCTTTCTAGAATCTCTGAAAACACAGCTCTCGACCATCAGGCTCTGACTCTGCTCCACTGGTGTCTGTGCTGCCAGCCCTTCAAACTTCGTACGGGAGAGAAATTTCCGGGAGCCGATTATCTTGTGGAGGTCGAAGTTTCGTCTCAACAGCGAAGACTATTTGAAGGAGCGAAATTGAGTCATGATTCCCCGGTTCGGTCAGCCTTTCACGGTACAAGACTAGAAAGCGTTTTTTCAATATTGACCTGCGGACTCTTGGCGCACATGAACAAGGCCGATTTATATGGGAGAGGCACGTATCTGACCACAGAACGTCACGTGGCTCAAAACTTCACGAATTCCGCTTCGATATGGCCGAATTCTTCGCTTGGATCTCAACTGCGGTGCATCACCATCTGCGAATACATAGCTGACCATCCAGATGTTCGTAGCAAAGAGCGGCAAGAGAGGCATCAGACCGCCATCCCTGAGAAATACCTTCTAGTCAAAAACAATGCGGCGGTCAGGATAAAATCCCTGATTCTGTATTCGACTAAATCCTCGAGAAAACTCCTCTCAAGCCGAAATATCGCACGCTGCTGGTCTCATGTGAAAACGAATAAGCTCTTGATCGTTGTGCTGATTTACATAGTTCTCGTGACGTTTTCCAAATTTTCGAGGAGTGGTCCTGTTCGGAAGCTATGGTTGATGCTGCACAATGATCATAATCATCGATAGAATAATAAATGTCGGGATACCCCGATACAATCTTTGAAACATATTGGGCTCATTCGTCCCGTGAATCTTGATTGTGCGCTGAGAGCTAGGTCATACATCCTCGAGGGCACTGTCAGGAATCATCGGATCCATTCTGAACGTGTCACATGTCAGGCTCGGACGCGGCGTGACGATTTTTCTGTTCCCACGGCATCTCGGTGAGGCTCGGCTCGTAAAACTTATTGGTCTATTGTGCTCTGTCCCGTGCCAGCCGTTTTTCCCATTCCATTGGCGGAATGCGGTCCTAGTGAGTAGACTGTCGAGTCTCCAAATGGTATCCTAATCTGCAGAAACTGACGGTCTCCTGTTCGAGGTGAAAACGAAAGTGTCGGATTACAAACGTCTGGTTTCACTCTCGATTCTGCGATGGCCAGCCCGCCTCGCTTCGTATCGCGGCTCGATACCGAAGGCTCGTGCTTGACTTTTCTGGTGGTTCAACTCGTGGGGCAACAGGGTGTAACAAGTTATTGATTATGATGAAGATTCGGCGTCGAGCTCGGGTCCCCTTGAGGAATATCCTGTTCCGGCGGGGATTCCGCTTGCCTAGCGGAGATGAGCGAGGTAAGAATAACCTGTTCTCAGATGATGCATCAACATGCGACTTCTGTGGACCGTGAGGGAAAAGCCTCTCAACTCCGAAATAAACCTCTTCTGAGATCGGACTCGCGGAGCTCGGCGGAAGGATTCGAAGGGAAGAGATCCTATCGAGACTTTTGGAAATTGACATCGTAGTCGAGATTCTGACGGGACCATACGATCAGGAATCGAATGTTATTAGTTATTATAGATTTAGTGGTGCCTCGATGGGCCTTTCGGAGGAAGTCCGATACTCATTTACAGCTTTGGGCATCCCGAAGTGAATAATATACTGCTCGATGGCGTGGATAAGCCGAAGCTCGAGCCAGCTTGAGTCAGCGAATTCTCTCCTGCAGTGTCTGAGTGGATTCCGCATCGAATCCGATAGCGAATGATCTACTCTGGGCTTTGGATCGCTCCGCAGCGTCGACGGCGAACGTGACGTCGTCCGGAGATGTGGCCTTACGCTACAGAGAATGAAAGTGTAAAAAGTAACATCCTCGCCCGAATCACTCTTTCCACGGCGAATCGAATCCTCGCGGTCAGTCTTCCTTCGCGTGTGAACTTCGGACAGATCCATCGCGAAAGCGAAAAACGCCCGCCAGTCATTTTCTTCTGGTTGAGTACCGCGATCCGTTTGCGGACTCGGTCTCCGCATTACAGGATCAGGTTGGATAGATTCAGATTGGTTGAAGCAGCTCTTGGGGAGCCAGCCGTGATCTGGAATTTATTATAGGCCTCTGATGGATTTCCTTCTTCGATTCGGGGAACGGGACGCCGTGGTTCAAAATCCAGGTTAGACTTTCAAAATCGTAGGGTCTCGCTAGAGGGGCGAAAAAATCCCCGACAGCCTGATGGTGCAATTCTCTTCTAAACTGCGTCGATGCGATTTATCTCAACCCGGAAATTGCGTTCAAACACAAATATTCGGTTGGCGGAGTCTTGCTCTGCATGAGTGAAGGCTGTTCTTCGGGCAGAAGAGGAATCCGGAGACGTCATATTGTGCGAAATCCAGCGTCGCGGCTGCGATGGAAGGGCATGTTTCTCTCGAAGACCTTCTTATCGTCTGGCGATGAATTCGTGGATGGAGAGAAATCCCTCCTGCCGCATGTTATCGACCAATCAACCAACCGTTGTAGACAGGAACCGTTGTAGAAACTTCCGCAAAAAAATGTCAGGTCGGGATTTCCAATTGATTTTCAACTTTAGATGAGCAACGCAAAGGCGGGGAGTGTCCGACTTCATTCTGAGTCAACAGAAATAAAAAAAGAGAGTCTGCAGAATCTCGGCGTCGATATTTTTCGTATAGGGGCTCCGATTGACTCACGGTTTCCCCACCTCCTCCCCTTAGGTCGAATTTTCTGAGAGGAAAGGTTGGGTTGCAACTTCCGATCCTGTCTCATCAGAGGAAATCACATTCACTTCTCGCTCGAGCCTGTCAGAGGAACTCATTGAGACCTAATTAGAGGCCCGTAGAGACCTAATTCGCTTCCGTGGGCTTTAACGGCCTTCGGTAAAGGCTTTCGAACTCCATCCTGAACGCGACCATGAGGAGCTCGCGCAGAGGAGATCGGGCGGTGACATACCAACATATGCGGCAATCAGTCTAGCAGTCTCTCGAGAGCTCGTGTATATATGGAATTCTTTCTCATTTCCAGAATCAGCGGAATTCGCAGAATTGCTGGCTGCTCTCGAGAATGGAACTGTTCTCCGGAAAGTCATCTCCCCGTCGAAGATCGTCTCCCGAAGATTCTTCCTCGACCCCAAACACGAATATCTCGCTTACTTCCCATCGCGAAAAGGAGTTTTCTGCTCCGCAGACGCACCTCTATGTAAGCAAAACGACCTACATACAGAATTTCCGAACGAATCCGGCATGTAAGAGCTTCGACAATGGACACGAACGAGAGTCTTTCGCGAGCTACGATTGCAATTTGCAATTATTGTGGAGCTTTCATCCTTGGCAATCGTCGAGGGGGACACTCAAAGGGATGAGGACAATCCCTGCCGCAGCGCTAACCCACGGGGGGGACTCGACAATTTGCAGACGTTGACCTGGATCGGCTGACCGAGATTTCCGGTCCTAAACGTATACGAAAGCTTCCTCTGCGCTTCCGCTCTCTGACTGTGCGGTATGGAAAGAAATGAGTTTTGTCTGCGCTCAATACTCTTGATGTTTAGATTGAGCTCAATCGGGGATCGTCTGCCTGGGACATGCTTAGAATGGTTCAGAACGAGCGCTCTATATATTTTTCCGAGCGGAAGATATCTATGAGTCTCCTAAATCCCGTTCCCGTAAGACGGGGTAAGATACAGGAGGTCCACTGACGACAGCCGTGAGAATTACTTGATACCATGAATCCGAAAAATGAGGTTTCCTAAAAGAGAACCTGCCTTCAACGATTGGTGAAAAGTGTGGACACCATTCCGACGATCTCATGAAACAAGTACCCGGAAAGCTGCAAGTTCTGAAGTCTTCGATATCCGCAAACCTCTTTTCGCTGAACTGTGATCAGTGAGAATCATTGATCGGTATTCTCGCTCCGACTTCGGTGCCACCGCTTGAGATGAGCTGAAAATCGCTCCCTCTGAGTGTTGCTCCCACTCTAACCTTACCCGAGCTTATGATGCATTGGGCTGACGATCCCTGAATCATGATAGGACTCCAATGATAGAATCCAGTGGAAATCTCCGTGCTACAAATTTAGGCGCAAAGAGAGCGCATTGTACCTCTTCCGGATGGTGGGGAAGCTCCCAAACGGATACCAAAAAATGTGAATATCATCCGCATCATTTCTGACCATGTGCGAAGCCCTCACATGCGCAATGAGAGGCATCAAGTTCCGCGATCCCATATCCTCACCCTGATTGTGAGATACGATCGGGGTTTGCCGAGCGTGCTCTCTGCGCCACCCGGAAGGCGGTTCTCGCACTGGAGCCGGGACGACGCGTCGTGATTCTGTCGCAACGGAATGGCCGAAAGCAGGCTTGGGAACACCCGTTTCGCTTGTCTCGAACCTTGATGCTTAGTCTAAGGCTGGCCTATGCGGCCGGGAATACATGCACCTTTGCACCTCGGGGGAGAGTCACTGAGGGCATCGATTCTTTAATAAGCCAACCTGTGATCCATGTCAACGCTGCAGAGCATACTATACATACTCAGGCTCAGCAGTCTCCTTTGGAGCCATCATGCCGCATAGCGGAAGAAGAGTCACCCCTTTCGGCAGCGTCAAGTAATTGATCACGATTCCGAGCCATGATGTTGATTACTACAGGAAACTTCTGCAGAAATATTCAGGAAGTGAAAAGACTCGAAAAAATGTAGAGAATAGCGACGAGGCGGCCGAAGAATTGCTCTCTCCTCGAGAGCGCCTTCCACGCCGGGTCATCTGCGTCGCTGAAGTCACACGGACTCGCTGATCTCTGTCACCGTCCCCTCGATTCCGTCGAGCATTTCGTATCTTCGAAATCATCGAGCTCGTGGAGAGCCGACGGAGCTTCGAAGTCCAGTCGAGCGCACTCGCGCCAGCACGGCTCATCGGGGGCTTGTGAGGTTGTGCAGAGATTCGGGGAAGTTTCAACTCGGTCAGAAACTCCGGAGAGAGGTCAGGCGCGGGAGTTCGAGAGCGGACCTTCTGAGGGAGCTACCAACTAACGAGCAGACAGTGGTTGCTTTCAACAAGAGCCCTCTCTCTCAAGTTAGTGAAGTCTCTCCGCTTATGGATCGAACCCGGGAAGCGAATCCGGCTGCTTCATTACGATCGGGCTTCGAATTTAGAGCTTCTGCTCTAGTCACTTGTCGATCGGTCGCTCGTACGGTTGCATTCTGCCCGCTAAATGCGTAGCTGAACGAGCGATGATTTCGCGCTTCATTTGATTGACTTAGGCGAGAGCTTCGAACTGATCTCACCCGCCTCATCTGTTGCATCGATAAACTCGTACCGGACTAAGACGACGTCGATCGGTGACAGTTCCAAAATGAAGTTCAGCGTGTTTGGCAATCTACTCGTTGCTATGCTCCGAAGTCGCCGAAGACGGCGGAAACAATCGAGTGAGCCCGATGAGGCTTCGACGACGAAGACCGACAGCATAGAAATTTGCGTGGAAAACGTGGATGAAACGTCTAGCGGCTCAGGTCAGGAACCAATTCCCATCCTCGCATTATAGCCACTTGAGGTACTTGGAATCATATTCGAGAACCGGCCCCATACATGCCCCCTTGAAGGATTTTTCTCGTCAAGAGGCTCAAGCGTCGAATTCGACCCAGGCAAGGCCTGAACCAGAACCCGGTTTTCAAGCCCTGCCTGTACTCGTATAACCAGGAATGGATTCCCTGGGCAGTCACCGACTTGCTATCACACTGGGCAGCTGGTTCCTCAGGGAGCTCTTCGAGTTGCCTGAATGCAAGTCTGTTTGCCCGGCACTGGGGATTCCGTGCTGATGTGAGGCTGTCACGATATCACGTCACGTGAAGTTCGCGCTCAGAGACATTTAGGTGATAGAGTTCTCCTGAGCTTTCGAGTTATCTGCCCCGAGCAAGATGAGCCGTGTGAGATCCTTAATTGTTACCCTTCCGGGGTTTCTCTGAAGCTCAGTATCTATAATACTTATCGGAGCCGAGCTTTTTGAGGCTGCTCGTCGGCAGCGGAGTTGCTCTTCCATGGCTCTCAGAGAGCACATTGCGGATGAGTCGATGAGAAATATGGTCGAGCCGAACTTCAACATTATTGTGGACTGATCAATCTACTCCGCTCCCATAAAATTCAAATTCCTCAAAATGTCCATACCATGCCTTAGAGACGAGTGACTCGCTAGGGTTGGGCCACCTGAAGCTTGGCAGCTCACGATCAATACCCCTCCGGGTCGATTCAAGTTTTTGAACAGCATCATTTCGGGGTTCACATCTGAATATGTATTTCCCCATCCGCCCCTCTTGGATCAGAAGGCAAGAGCACGAAACCGAAGCTAGGTCAGGACAAGCGTATGGAGCTCATTCATCGTTCAGGAGGTGGTAAATTAGGAGTGAATTACTCGACCGGGGACCGTTGATGCAATTCATTTCTCGTCTCAACCTAAGTCGCAAAGATCCCGAAGTCGCAAGGCTCCCGGGGCCAATTGGAGCATGATCTCGACAGGCTTTGTTGGCGGTCAGCGCCGGCCGGTCCGGAACACGGATCGAAGAACGTGTGTAGCGCAACGATTATGGCGGGACCAGAGCTGGAGTCAGCGACCGCGAGCTCTCCCAAGGCGACCCTAACCTCTCCCTATACTCCAGAACTCTGGGACTCACACATGAGGCCAATGGGTCAGATAAGGCAACGATCATAAACGACCATCGAAGTTGATCGTTCAATAACCCAGCAAACGATTCCAGATGCCATTCGCGACATCAGTGAAGTGCGTCGAGGATTTTCCACTGACACTTTCCACAGACTCGATGAGAATTCGCAGCAGCGACGATCGATACGGAATGGTCTGATACGGGACGAGCTCTGTTTCTCTGTCGTTCTAAACACGTCGAACACCACACTCGATCTTATCGGTAAGTCAGGCGACAGACTCGATCATTTCGACTCGATGAACTTCTTCAGCCCCTCAGACCCAGATCCCGAGGAGAAACCGTTGAATGCCTCTCGGGACGAGCACGTTGTCACGCCATAACGATATGAGCGGGCCGATCGACGTTAGGCCTTGTCTCCTCCGCGCCGATGGTGAATTGGCTATTTTTGCGGCCGTAATCGACCATAATTATTGGTCAAAATGTCCCCTTACGACAGACAGGATAGTCCCATTTTATGACCTAATGGAATGAACAACTTTCACCCAGATATGGCCAGTCGTCGGCGAGTCTGGAATTGAGCCGAAGGGCTGACCTGGATTATGAGCAGTGAACCTGATCCGGAGGTGGGGTCCGTCGCGCTGGTCAGCTGTGGTGACGGCAATCGCAAGTCCGGCGGCGACGTTGACGATAACAAAAACAAGTGGAGGAACAATAATAATAATAAACATCTGAACGATCGGGAGGGCGAGAAAGAGGTTGTGTTTCCGACCGGACGAGTTGCCGTTCGCGAGACCGCAATCGCTTCCGAGCGTTCGATATTGAGGGAGCTCGGAGCTCTTGCTTAGAATGATTTGATCCAATGAGCTTCATTTGTGAACCTCCGAGAGATGTTGAACTTGTGGATTGTCTAGCGCGTTCGCGTTTCTTGCCGCATCGATTGGTTGTGTAGTTAATATCGAACCTTCAGCATGAAGGTGAGTGAATCAGGCAGCGAGTGTGCTCGTGAGTCGGTCACTGGGTTAGGTGAGTCTTCTGAGCTCAGAGCCTCTTCTACGGGAACGCAGAAAGCGGCGCGCTCACCGATACACTCCAAAGGGCAGGCAATCGGCCATTATGCTTTTCCTCAATTGGTGATGTAGCTCGCGCTCTTCGTTATGAAAGCATCTACATGAGTTCATGATATTTCACCTCGGCCGAGCAACAAAAATTTTCGAAGGAGCACAGCGAGTGCCAGATACGCCTGAACTCGCGTCCTAGCACTCGGTCACTCCGATGACGTCTGCAGACGTTGACGGTTGACTTACGCCCGTGGTCATTATCACCTGGGTCGCTCGGAGAAGCTCGACGACGATGATCTCATCAAAATGCACGTGATCTACATAGAAAAAGAGAGGCCTTGGGAAGCTTCTCAGGCAAGGCAATATCATCTCGCCGCATTACCAAGTCTAGGAAGTTACAGTTGAGAAAATTGCGTCTTCTATTCTGGAGGAGAATACTGCCTATGATTCTGAATTTCGCTAAACGGAGAAAGTTTGACCCAGTCCGAAGCACAAGAAAGGAGTGTCGGGCGCTCCCCGAAGCGCTCGACGCCGCTGCCACCGCCGTCCTCGACATGACTACTGTAGACAGTTGTGAGTAGAGACCTGTTGTCGTGCTGTGATCTGTTAATGTCTCCGAGCCCTTCTCGTCAATTAGATCTTCGATTGCGTGGAAAGCGTCTAGGCTCAATATCTGGTGGACGTACAACGATTGTCATGTCCGTGTGTAGTGGCAGGCGCTTCCTCCCGATATTCGCTCGAGGTCGGCACCGACTCGGAGCGAGCCAAGCGCCCGGGATCATTTGGAGGACGTCTCGTATTCAGGGAGGACCTCGGATTACGCGACGTTTCAGCTCCAAGGGGGAGGGGGATTTCCCCAATGCGTTGACAATGTGCGCGTTCTTGGTCCGCTGACGGGGATTCGCGGCTCATTCCTTTACACGAGCTCACGTGCAGGCGTATTGCTCCGCAGCGATAGTCAGAGTATCGGAGCTTGCGTAAGTTTTCCCCTTCCGATAGAATAGGCGGTCCGTAGCGGAACGATTGACAACGATAGTGCCAATGTACGTTTTCAAAAGACCTTCCTTCTGGGCAATAGCAGCGTACGCTATGCATGCGGCGCCGCCGCCGCCGCCGCCGGCTCGGTGTCGACGGCCGTGAACGCGTGACAACCTACGATTCCATATTCTCTCAGATAACCATGAGAAATTGCTTTTCCAGCTCGCACAAAAGAAACAGCTGATGCCTGGCAGCGAGTTCTCTCGCATCTTGTAGCTGCCTACAGGAGTGCTGAGCGACAAGAAGCGTTCGACAGCTGGATTAAAGCTCAGTTCGCTCGAGCCGACGTCAACGGCAACGGGGTCTTGAACTTCCCTGAGTGTGTTGAACTCCTCAAGCAAATGAATAAAGCCGCCCCGAAAAAAGTCATCCGGAAACTCTTCGAAGTAAGTCATCTCCCACGAGGGTTCGGGCTCGGTGGTTCTGTGGATCAAGAACCCGAGAGCTCACCAAGCTTAGTCTAAGCGACTCGGCTCCGCGCCTTCAGCCGCCTGGCTTATCCATCCGATAGGGCTCTGAGGCGTATAGTCCTCGAATTCCTCAACTTCAGGAGGTGACTCGCATTTTCAGGCCGCGAACAAGAATCGGTTGCCTATTGACGGAGAGGATGTTCTCGATAAAAACGAGTTTGTGTTGTTCTACAACTCTCTGCTCAATAGACCAGAAATCGTTGAGATATTCGACAAGTGAGACACCAACCGAGCTTTGTATCGAATTCTTAATATTAGGCCGAACAATCCCTACAGAAAGCTCTGATGGGAATCATGAACAAAACTCCAATTCGTTCCGCAGATACAAAGCCAAAGGAACAGAATTGATGGGAGCCGAAGAATTGCAGCGCTTCCTCAGACGGGAACAGAGTGAACAATGCTCTGTGAATGAGTGCCAGCAGATTATTCAAACTCTAAGCGAGTCGACTCATGAGGTATCGCTTACGCTCATGCCATGCACGGGAGACCAGGCGTCGGAAACGTTCCGTTCCAGTCGGTGATCAATGAACACAACACGCGCGATGACGACGACACGTTCTCTTCCTTCCTGCAGGATTGGGGATCGGACGGTCACCTCACCGTCCGAGGCTTCGAAGCATTCCTTTTGTCTGACCGGCAGGATATTTTCGACCACAGGCACCATTCCGTCTGTCAGGATATGACCCGGCCCCTGAACGAGTATTTTATCGCATCGTCCCACAACACGTGAGCGCGACGCAGCGTACTGCGAACTTTATTCTCGGTGTCCGGGTGAACAGGTCGTTTCGCTACTTTCGGGTGGCTGGTCACGTTGCTCGGCACGTTTTCCCTTTTCTCCCGAAGTCTTGCCGAGCTGAACGTGTGTGGGCTTGGGCCCTTCCGAGCGTTCACCTCGAACTGTGCGTTCACGTTATTCAGAGAGCGAATTTCTTGAAGGTACCTTCTCAATCATCAACTCGTGGGCGCCTCCAGCGTTGAGGGTTACATTAAGGCCATGAAAAGAGGATGTCGTTGTCTAGAATGTGAGCGACGTCGGCGATCAGCGAATTCTTCAGAGAAGACGTCCGCAATCTCGAACGCTATTGCGGACTTGCTCCTCCGATACCTCATCACTCTTAGTTCTCACAAGGAATTCCATTACAGTGGACGTCTGGGATGGTCAGAATTCGGAGCCTGTAGTGTTCCATGGATATACTTTGACCACGAAGATTCTTCTGAAGGACGTCTTAGAAGCTATTTCAACCTATGCCTTCCAGTCTTCACCGTCAGTATCGCTTCCAAAATCACACAGCTCAATTATTGCGTCTCGACGGCAGCCCGCTTGCCCCGCCGATTCATAGCCGCGAGACATCCATTTCCCGCTGTCGAGGATATCGGTTCATTGGACGGGTCTTTTCAGTTATCCCGTCATCCTCTCCATCGAGAACCATTGTACCCAAGAACAACAAAGGAAGATGGCCTCTTATTTTCGCTCATATCTCGGAGGTTGGTGCAGGGGGATCGGGGCACGTAGAACAGCGAGCGAGCTCAATAAACCCACCTATCATTAAACCGAGGCGAATGTCCTCGCGCTTATATTGAATGAATCCTCTGTAGGAATCGTCAAGGAATAAGATTTCATGGTCGATTGTAATTCTTCCCCGAGGGGCGACATGACGATATCTGCTTTGAAAAATTCTAGAATACTACTGCGGAGATCTGGTGGACGATCTGAGCGAGCTCCCATCTCCTGAGCAGCTCAAATACAAGATACTCATCAAGGTGCGTCGAACTCATCCTTGTATTCTGTCCATTGGAAAACTCGTCAGAGACTCTAGTCGGATCTGATTTGTAGTACAAGGGTTGTCGTCACTTTTGGCGGGGAGCGTGTGGGAAATCGATGATATGTGCCCAGACTTCCCGAGTCTATACGCATCACTTATCATAGATTCCGGGCGGGGGCCATACGGAATTTCATTTGTGAAGCGTCCTTTTCTTGGCAGTGTAAGAAGCTGGAAACGACCAAGGAACTCCCCGAACTCCGGGAAGAACAGGAGTTCGCCCAGACTCTTAGCGTGAACGACGCTGAAGCTCTCGGCTACGTGAGCGACTCCTCAGAGGTGGGTCACTCGCTGGAGAAAGCTTAGGCGATTTCTCAGGAGTCGGTGTTTTTATATTCTATATTCTCTCGGCGCTGCCCGTGTTCAGGTATCGGAACATTTTGGGAGCGGTTCTTCCAACGAGGGCGATGACGGGAAGAAAGATGCCGACGTTTCTTACGAGAAGGTCGTCGCGTCTTCTTCACGTGAAGTCAAAGGGTCAGTGGATACCTTAACCATGTTTCTCGGTTCATTTCTCTTGCTAGAGACACTGTAGAGTTCCATACGTGGCTGAAGGGAGATTTAGGATGGTAGCTTTTCGAATTCTCAGAGAACACAAGGAGAAGAACAGCCGACTCCGACGGTCTCTGCGTCGCTCCTCGGGCCGCGGGAAACTGAATCTCACACAAGAGCTATCGGATTGCGTCAATTACATCATCGCAACTCCTTTCCACAGTCTCGAGGAAACACAAACATGTGAGTTTCAGCTCATTCGCCTCACACCCATATTGCCGGAATTTCCGCCATAAGTACCGTATATTTCGGAGCACGCGAGGACAGTCTCAGACTGGCGACGATTCCATCGCTCATGATATATTGTTGCTCCTTGTTGTGTTCAGGGCGTCCCAACCAAATGACGTCATTCAGTGAATCCAAGTGCCTGAAAATGCTCAACGGTGGAGAGAGGAAGAACTTTATGAAGTACACTCAAAAGCACTTGGCGCGCATCTACCCCAAGGGGAGCAGAACTTCTTCCACGAACTACAATCCGATACCGTTCTTCAACAGCGGCTGTCAAATAGGTGAGCAGCCACGAGCATCTCTATGAGTCGGAACATATTTCACGAATGTAGCGCTGAGCCCCTCCGCGGTGACCGACTAAAAAATTTCGATTTGAACTCCCTCAGTGGCGCTGAACTATCAGACTCCGGATAGCAGTATGTTCTACAATATTGCGAAATTCGCTCAGAATGGCAATTGTGGTTATGTTCTCAAACCTCGGATTTTGAGAAACGATCTCGACTCTTTCGATTTCGATGAGCCTCCCTTATCTTTGTGCAGAACTGTCACCATAAAGGTAGGTGCTGTTTCGCGAAATTATTGAGACAGCAGAACGTCCATGGATTTTCCGGCTCAATGATTCATCCAGCTCGTTAAACCTAAGAAGGATAAGGAGCTTTCCGGACATTAACCATCTGCTCTTGTTACTGCCCTTCCAGATCATTAGCGGGCAACACATTCCGAAACCGGATGAATCTCTAGAAGGCGAAGTCGTTGACCCCTATGTTCTGGTGAAAATCGTTGGACACCCTAAAGATCGAGCTTGCGCGGAGACGGAGTTCGTTAGGAACAATGGTAAATCCGCTCGATCCTCCTTAATGAACGCTGCGACCCGATACGGCTAAATTATCATCGGGGATCTAATACGGATGTATCTGTTTTCTTTTGCCAGGATTCAATCCGAACTGGAATCGGACTTTCGAGTTCATTGTCGAGGTCCCCGACCTCGCCTTCCTTGTTTTCATCGTTAAGGACGACTCTCGTACGGGAAAGAACCTAAAATTGGGCAAATACGCGGTTCCGCTGACGGCGGTTCGCACTGGCTACCGACATGTTCACTTGCGGAATCCATGGTTTGAAAAAATTGTTCCCGCGTCATTGTTCGTCCATATCGACATCCGCAGGAGCTCTAATTATCAGACTCTGTAATATACTGCCTACGGAGTGCGAAATGAGCTCTAGTTCGGCTCTCGCGGAGTCTCAGGTCGGAACGTGAGAGGTTTGAAGCCGGGTTGTGAAGGGCTCCCTCATCCAGTGCAGATTGGCTATTTCGAGGAATCGGAAAAAAGCGATGCAAATCATGTCCCCTGAGAACTAACGATGGCGGCACCGCTCTCTTCGCGAGGGCAAGTCATGTAAATAGCAGAATCATAGGGATCTCAGTCACCGGGAACGGTCCATCAAGGTATCTTCGCGACGTATGGTGGAAGGAACGCTTGTTATTCGTACGGCTCCAATCGAGCTCGAACGACTTTCGAATTTATTCACTTTAGGCCCGAGCACGAGTGAAGGCTCACGCGTGTCGAGCTCCGATTCCGACCTCTTGGACGGAGAGTGATTCATTGTATCAATTCGAATCTCTCCAACGCAAGATTGCAGAATGCAGACTTTTCCATTCGAATAAAATTGGTTTTGAGAAGAGATCGTTGATATCTGGTGATTTCGCCCTTTCCATCGCACAGTGATGAACATATCGGTGGAGGGAATTCAAGATTCAAGGGAATCGACGGGGCGAGGAAATTCACGATTCACGAGGCTGGGGATCTTCACTCACAATCAGATCAGCGAGGCTGATTGGCTTCCTTAAGCGAGTTCCGAAAATCCTGTGAGAAGGAGGCGGGTCAAGCCGGGCATCAGGTATCCGAAAGCAACAGAGTCTCTCACAGGAGTACCAGACAATGCCATTCGTAGAAGGTTTCGGTGTTCCTGAACGCAAGCAAAGATTCCAGACCGGCTTGACCGGAGAAACGATTCTGCGCCCGAGGAAACGCTCACCGAATCGGCCAAGTTCTCCCCCTGCGGAGTGAGAGCGAGTGAGCCGAGTCCTGTCTGATGTAATGATGGATTATAAGTCTGTATCTACGAATGCGGAAAGCTCTTCCGTTGGTTGCTCCGTCGAGAAATGTGCCTTCGGGAATTCGCGCTGCAAGTAGAGTACCCACTCGTATCGGACCGCGTTCCGATGTCTTGAGCGGTACATTAGTGACGTGGGCGTCGGTGTTATCTCTAAGCACCGACGACGCAACAAGCATTCCGGCAGCTGATATACCGATTCTCCAGAAGTGCATAGCGTTCCGTGCTCAACATCTCATGCCTTTTTTTTGATGTCGACGTGAATTCGCTTTTGCTCTTCCGACTCTATTTCTGCGAGTGTTCTGCTCTTCATTACGTAATGCAATCCGCACACACGAAGCGGAAATGTCGCAAGCATAAAACGGTGAGGCCCAGACTCTTCGGACTTGACGGCTACCAGAGGTGATGCTCCGGATGAGACCAGAATGCGAGACCCGAGCTCTTCCTAATGGATTAGCTTAAGAGCGATTCGGAGGATAAGAGTCCCGCTTTCCAGATGCAGAGTGGTCGTGGAGCCAGCCTGCGATCCTGTACGACCTCCATTCGGCCATCATATTTCCACGGCAATGATTTAGTATTCCGCGGTGTCAAACAAGTTTGTGGTCTCCTCAACATCTGTTCCCGGGCCTCGTCTAGGTTAGGTCGCGCTGCGCGTAACCGAATCCGTTCGATCAATAGATTGGAAGGCGTATACGATCCGCAGGACCTGGAGGTAGAATCTGAAGAAACGCTCATTGTCTCTGTCGAAGCATGACATGAGACTCCGCTGTCAGCTCCCGCTTCCCATTCCTTCTCAGAGATTGGCGGCAGCCGATATAAAGAACATCAACAAGAATGCAACCCGTACGATCTACCTGATTCTCCGTCGAATGAGTGAAGGCCCCGGACTAGAAGTCAAGCGATGTTTCGAGAAGTCAGTTATTACCCTTGATTCAGGAGTTACTACTTATGGCGGTCTACGAGGAGTGCATCGAACCGAACGGGAATGTATCCCTAGAGACGCATATTCATTGATTATATGCATCTGATGCAGGTACGGTGATGCTGGAGGTCTACTAGATTCCAAAAAACTTCGGGAATTCCTCAGAGATGTCCAATTCATGTCGCCTGAGGAGATCCACAGCGCGGAAAAGAAACACTTCGATGAAGATTTCCATCACATCGAAACCATTCTCGGGGTTTTCCTGGAAGACGATAAAATGTTCGGAGCGGTGGATTACAGCCGCCCCCAGGACATGACAAAACCGCTCACCCATTATTGGATCAACTCGTCACACAATACGTATGATCGATTTTTCAATTGGTACCTATTCATTCCCCGCTTCGGAGTCATTGAGAGATAGTCGATTCTGCTTTGCTGGAGTCCCGCGAATAATGAACCCTTCGGATAGCGAACCTCCCTGTCGCATCTATGGGAGAGAATTTTTTTCTCAGCATCGAGTCTATCAGAGAGAGAAGCTTCGTTGTACGCGGGACTCTGGTTCATCTCATTCTCCACGACGAGAGACGGGGATCGTTGCCGTGCCCATCTAAGGCTTTCCTTGAGTTGCATGGTAACGGGCTTCATAATCAATATCTCCCGCAGGTATCTCAAAGGACGCCAAGTAGGAATGAAATCTGCGAGTTCCCTCCAGTACAAGCGGGTTCTCGAGAGTGGCTGTCGATGCATTGAACGTGAGTTCATTCGTAGCTATCTGTGCGACCTGAAATTTTCATTCCGTTCGCTTTCGGGAGCGCATCGCTGAAATTCATAACCGTAGAAACACCGACGACTGTAATACATACGCAATCGAGAGCTCCTCTCCTCATATCGCGCTCATCCTTCGAACTCTTGCAGTGGATGTTTGGGAGAGCGCAAATCAATTGAAGGTCTGTCACAGGTCCCTAACAAACGCACTGGATCTGAAGCCCGTCCTAGAGCTCATAAAAGAATATGCCTTCAAGACTTCGACGTGAGTCCTTGGCTCCCTTCGGGAACATTATCCGACGCCTCCGCCGTGAGTGATATGAATTTGTTCATCCAGGTATCCCGTGATACTTTCCATCGAGCAACATCTCAGCCTGAAATCATTGAAGCGAATGATGTTGCATATCAGAGAATGCTTCAAAGGTAGACTGCGTGAATGAAGCATACTCGCTCTGAACCATCCGAAACATCTGAAACATCCCACAGACCTTTTCCCAACCTAAGGAAGCTCCTTTCAGGCTTCCTGCTCGAGGACCGTTTCGAATCCTGCGCGGAATCAGCGAATTTAAGCTTGATGTCACCTGGAGAATTGCGGAACTGCATCCTGATAAAGGTCTCTTGCTCAACCTACCTCGCAACACTCGGGTCTCGGGCCCAGAGTCGAGTATAATAATTTCTCGTGTTTGTTCATGCTCCCGGCAGATGAAAGGCAAGAGAGATATACGAGGAGACTTTTCCGTGGCGAAACTTAGCTCCCCGAAGAATCTGAACCTTATCCAAGGTACTTTGTGCCATCAATTTTACCGTCTGACTTTCCTGGGTACGCGTCCCCCGCGTCTTCAGATAGCCTGTCAGAAATCACTTATTGACGATCTGATTCAGAATGCTGCAGCGCGAACGTAGCCGACGCCAACGCGATAATCTCGCTCGCGGAGTCATTTGCGGACACGATGATTTATTTCAACGAGGAGCAATGGAGGGTTCGTACCCGGAACAATCTGGCCAGAGTTTACCCATCGGCTTGCAGGATCGACTCTAGCAACTATTTGCCGGTGAAGGTTTGGCTCGCCGGATGTCAAATGGGTGAGTCGGAAGTCACACGCTGACCGAATGCCCCAACCCCCCTCGGGAGTTTCGAACCGCCTTTGCGCTCGTTCTTATCTGACTGCTCTGATCGGTAGCCGCTCTCAATCTCCAAAAGCCAGGATCCAGCGTCCTGCTCAACCAAGCGCTCTTCGACTTGAATGAGCGAAGGGGCTTCGTTACGAAACCGGAAGCGATTCTCTCCGGGAACGTACCGACGACCCCAGTCGAGAAGCTGAAGCTGAAGGTAAGTTCTGAAATCAAGATCGGCATCGCAGAACCCAAGATAAGCACAAATCGGGTGGTTTTTCCTTTGCGGGGATCGATGCTGTTCCCATCTATTGCAGATACTCAGTGGGCATCGTTTTTTCGCCTTGCCTCGAGGAGCGGCGAAGAGCAAGCACATAGAATGTCATCTCAAAGCTGTGATCCATGGAACGACCAAAGACAAAAAGACGGAGAAGCTTGACGTCTCATTCACGCTAGGTCCGGTGAAATCCTCGCGATAATCCAAATGTGGGAAAGGACAATTTCACGGTAGCTCGTGCATGCATATTGATTCCAGGCCACGATTTCGAAATCAATGCAGCCTTCGAGTTCGACATATGCCTACCGGGGGCGGCTTTCCTCGAACTGTCGATACACTCGACGGAAAGAGTTGGATCATTCACCGCCGTGGTGTCGTCTCTGCGTCGCGGGATTCGCTTCCTTCATCTGACGGACCTTATTGGCCGCAAAGCTGTGCCTTCGAGCTGCTTGTTAGCTCACATCGAGAGGGAGACAATGCTCAACGAGGAGTGATCGCCCAGTGACAGATGTTCCTTCGATTGTTCTATCTTCTGAGTCCTCGTGTAGTTGTGCCAGCTTCGAATCGATCGGATTCCGGTTCAGACTGAGGAACCGCCGGACTCGCTGCTGAAAGCTGAGATTATCATTCATGAACATTCGGACGCTCGCATTTCTTCCGATCTCCTTCTGCTCCCTGCATTTGTGGTTATACTGTAATCCAATATTCCTTTATCCATGTCTGTGGAATCTCCCGGTTGTTAGGGTACCGCTCATGTAATTAAATTCGTATACGCCTGGCGTGACGACCATGCATAACAGCTACGATCGGAGTCTTTGATCAGTGCTACTTAAGTATCGAGCTCCATTCTTCCTAGATGAGCGAAGTTATTCACTCCACCTTCTCTGCGTAACAAAAACTTATGCAAGCATTCGTCCTCAGGATCCCGAATGCATATAATCATCCTGCTCGATCCCATGCTGCACTTGATTAGATCCTGTCCCGGTCCGATCTCGAATGAGTTGGTGATGATGAGTGGTTCGGGTAAGATAGAAAGACAGGGTCCCGGATTCTTCTGCCTTGATCAATTTACGTCTGTACCGATTATCCCGCGGAGAACAGACTCATTTTGATTAGGGGCAGAAGAGGTAAGAGGAGTGATCAGTTTCTTTGAGCTCGGCTCGCTTACGCAGTGCTGGGGGAAGCTGTCGGGAAATCGGCGATGATGTCCACTCCATTGGTAAGCATCAGATTGCTGGCTGGCTTTCTCTGCAGACTGTGCCAATACAAAAGAATTCGAGCGTATATTCATGATTCATCGCAGGTCTATGACATGGAATATGTTAGGACGCCTAAATCCACCAGGACCGAAACCCGCTAGGCAGCGGATCTCGACAAAGCTCGTGGAGACATCCAAGCCTCGAACCTTGTGGTGATTGTCCCTGAGGCGTCTTCGAAGTGTCCGGGTGAATCCCGGAGCCCATTGCCTCGATAAGGTGGCGATTCAAACCAGTGAGCCAGGCAAGATATTCCGATCCCACGAATCCCCCGAAATCGCGACCGGTGGATTTTTGAAAGTAATGACACCGTTCCCAAGTGGAACGTCGCCTTCAGTCCCCGAACAGACCGTTCGCCCCCGACCCCTGTAGGAACGTTAACGCCACAGTAAGCTTTCCATATGTACTCATAAGTGACTATCTCAAGGAAAACGCATCGGATTTCGGAATGCAGTTTTTTTTATGAAATGATCAAATAAAATTGCGAGAAGAGAGTGGCGAGAGGCTGTCTCGACAACTTTCGCGCGAATAATGTAATCATCATATTTATAAATGTATTATATATACAACAAACGATACGTGCTTCGTCTGAACCGGACTCGTTTGCTTCTTTTGGTGAAGCGCTCTATAACATAATCATGTGTTCCTACCTTGGGCCTATAACCTTTAGCTACCTCTGAATAACTCGGATCCAGACAACGTATCACAGTGGGAATCAAGGAACATTCAACCTAGCTGATAGTTGTTCAATTTTACATTTCATCTGATCATTATATCCGACCAGTTTCTGAATATGATGAAGGTGTATTTTAGCTTGCTGCTGCAGGTGGGATCGGACTAGTTTATCCTTACTTGTTATGCTTCTTCGAAAACAAGAGGCTTGTCGTTTCCACGCTATGATATGATGATGACTGGTTCATATACAAGAGGGAGTTGCATCACGACTCGCGGCTGTCAGGAACGAAGCTTCGATCCCGACCATGAGTCCCGGGTCTCGAAAGACGGTGCTGCTTGCTTCAGTCTCTCGACTGTTTCCGGAGGGTTCCGGACAATAGTGATATGGAGTTGATGCTCACGACTTGAGATGATGATTACAGTTCGACGGAAATGGAGCATTATTGGATCGATCAGCTCGTAGAGCCTACCTAACGATTTCCTTTCCGCTTATGGGAAAGATTGAGCCAGCAGTGGATGGCAGCTGGACTGATGAAATAATTTAATCGGTCCGCCATTGCACGGGGACGCTTACAAATAAAACGTGAGTAGTTCGGATCTACAATGGTTCTAAAAGATCGGATCGGGACTAGGTCCACGAGAAGAGCGAAGTGACTGAAGCCCGAACATCGAGAATGTCCACGAATCTAACTAAGAGCAAGCGCATTCCTTCACAATCATTTTTGGTATCCGACCGAAGTGCATGACGCCTTGTGAATCCTGGTACATGACGGGCAAGGCCTTGAGTTTCGTGGGTGCACAGCAAGGTCGCGGTACCGTCTTATGCCCGAGGATGCGGCTGATCTTGCTTTGAAGAGCCGCGTGCGAACTAGCGAAATGTCCGTGCTTATAAAGGCATTGGCCTCTGCAGAAGTTGGCTTGGAAAGTCTTCGGTTCGATGATCCATTCGTCCCATCCGAAGTCGGCGACAGAAACATTCAATGATCTCATACAACAAGCTTTGTCGTTTTCTCCGGAGCACATTCTGCGAGTGGCACCCAGCTTATCCGAATTCGGAGTCACCCTGTTGCCTCTCGTGGATAGTGATCTCTTCGATCTGGATAGGGAAGCAGAAACCTCTCTTGCCATGAGGTCGAACGTCGGAAGACCTCGAAGACAGCCTCGTCGACTCTGCCATACGCGGAACTCGACAGTTCCACTGGATCGTAGCCAGCCCTTCATTGACGAAGTGAGATCGATAACTTTGCGATAGCGTGTCGAGTGGCTTCGCGACGTAGTTTCGGCTGGAAAACGAGGAACAGATCATCAGTGAGGTTCAGATCGGCTCTCCACCAAGTGAGATTCACTCTGATTTCTGAGTACTCTGGCGATAATTTTTTTCCTGAGCGCTTCTTACCAGGCAGAGTGTGTAGATCTGCGACGAGGTAATCGAGTTGATCTTCTTCATCGAGCTTGTAGACTTTCACTGAGCAAGTGTGGGGCTGCAGTCTACGATTAAGTCTCAGTCTTAATCTCGCTGAGACAAGATTCTGACTGGTCGACTCCGGGATTCGGAATCGAATACGCTGGACGACGCCGTCGTTTTCTTCTGTGTATGGACCGCCTGAAAATGAATCATCCATGCATTAGATGGCTCCGCTAGATCATCCCCGAAGTCAGGAGATGGAGCTGTATGCGGGGAATTCCCCGGCTTTGGAAAACTTGCTGACAGTGAGTTGTGACAGGTAGGGTTCACGAAGAGCGAGCGCCGGGCAACTGCGCGTGCCTCGCACCTCGATATGGAACGCGTTTCTGTCATCCGAGTCTGTTGTCTTTGTCGTTGACTCATGCCTCGGTGGTACTGACCACGCGAAAGTTACGTAAGAATCTTTGCCTGAATCAATGGAAATCTCCCGGCGAGAATTCCGGTGAGGGCCGGTCACGAGAGTGAGAATGAAAGTTCGGAACCTCCACCGAGATCATCGTCGGAGGCGCGGGCTGCATGTCGCTCGTTCTGCTCAGCGCGCGAGACGACACAGTATGTCAATGCGAGTAGGTACTATGTTTGGAACCGAAGCTTCATCACCGATGAGCTCTCGACCAGCAGCTAAAGGCATTTCAGGTATCCCAGGCCTCTGAGGAAGCCTTCTAGACGACTTCGCATCTGGGGAGGGTTCACAGTGAGCGCGAGAGCGATAAGAGGAACTCGATTTCCCAGGATCAGCATTCGAGGCATGAATTCGCCAATGGAGTCAAGAGCATCATCCAGGGTAAATGAATCAAAAATAAAAAAAATAAAGGCCAAACACAGACGAGCGATGAACGCACTTGGCAACAGTAATCAGGGACGTCTAATCGCCCCCCGCTGCAAGTGAAAAGCGAAAAAACGAGACGAGCTCTTGCGAAATTTGGAACGGCCAGCGTTGAAAGGTGGAGCGTTTTTCCAATTAGCGCCACTTCGGTTCTTGTCTTTTTCAATTCTACCCTGCTGATGATCTCAATAACTTTTTCCCGCTGGCCATCGATTCTATGCTTCGGAGGGGTCGATACACTATAACCAGCCTTCGGTTTCGCGCCAGCACCGCGCAACGAGCCAACACGCCAGCGGCGAGACGCGGTGAAAGCAATACGATCTGGCGGCGCGGAACAGTTTCATAAGTTTCGAATTCCGAGCCGACGACGACTCGAACGGATTCGTTCACCATACATGGGAGCATCCGTAATTCGACTCAAGCTTCCGACCGACGAACAGCGGCGATCGGCTTGCTCCCATGCCCAGGAAAGAAGACGCATACGAATAGCCTCCCCTTGTGAAGAATCGCTTCTAGCCCGGAATATGACGGGGGTGCTAGAAAATCTCATCCTGATCGCCATTGGACCTCCACCGCAAAGATGAGCTGCTACGAGGCGAAGATTAGAATCTATCCAGACTTTCCGTTACGAATCCGCCGACATCTGTCCCAGGGGCGAGGCCGTCTAAGTTTGAAAGTGGCCTTGCAGCGGATATTCTGTAGAAGCCTTTAGGACTTTTCACGTCAGCTCGAGCTGCGCAATCGTGAGCGGTTCATTCAACTTTTCCACGATTCCCTACACGATTCGAAACACTTTCAGAGCGCGTCTCCATCATCACGGTCCCGCGGAGGGCACAGTGATATCGACGGTGGATCATCTTCTAATCGGTGTCGTTTCGTCTCTGCAATCGCTCATCCGAGGGACGAGCTTCCGCTGCAGTCGCCGGGATTCACGCGGAGAGGAATCCCCGGGGTGAGCTCGAAATCGAGAGCCTAGAATCCCTATTCGTCGCTCGATCGCCTACTTCATCCATTTTGAACGGGGGAAAAAGAGAAACAACACTCATCTAATCCTTTGAATTGCTCCGTTTTCGCAGTTACGTAATCAGTTGACGACGGAATTCGTGTTCGTTCACACGTGCTGGTATGATTGATCGAGTCAAAACCTCATCAAAGGGGCGTCCCGGAAACCAAATTTCACTTCCGTCAGAATTTACTCGCGCTCTCATCCGGCGCTTTGGCCCTCGGAGATACCCCTGATTGACGCTCCGATGACAGATTCCTGACGCGGGCCAATCGCGAGGCTGGCCGGAAAAGACGGTTGACCCATATTGATCAACAACGTGACTCTCGGTGTGGGAGGTACCGCTTGCGGACCCGCCGGAACTCCCCAGGTATCTATCGGCCTATCGAAGTCCGTATGCGCTTCATAGTAGTAAGATTCTATTCTGGGAGTGAAGTCAAGACCTCAATCCGCCATTGCTATTCAGAACGCGGACCGCGTCGACCCTCTGGAAGTCGAGTCGAGTTGGAATCTGTAGGCGATTCGCTTCGACTCGGTAATCAACAAGTGGCCGAGTGCTTCGCCGGGATCGTCCTGATCGTGGATTCAGGCCGAGCGGATCTAAAAAAAGCTCGAACGGCGATCAACGTGACCGAAGCTCACAGGATGTGGAATGCGGGTCAAGGGAGCATCATCCGAGTTCATTCTCTCGCTGGAGCTCCGGTAGAAGCTTCGTTCGTACAGAAGACACGCACCCTGTCGATGCTCACTATGCTTATTTCCGAGAACGGTTCTCGTCGAACTTCCTCTCCCATTCTGGAAGTCTGGCGAATCTCGGCGGGCTATCGGAAGACCGCCCTCCGAGTCATCGAGCGACCACCCATCCCTGCGCTGAGGCCGGGTTCGAGTTTCCGAAACGTGAATACCGGCGCGCTGACTTGTCCCCTGATCGTAAGTAGACAAAGTTCATCCCAGGATGTTCCGCACCCGAGAGCGCAACAAAAGATCCACACATTTAACTTGGGGTCCACGGTGTCGGATGACGAACTAGATTCGGCCGGAAGCAAATCGTTCCGTTACCTGCCTGCGCGTAAAGGCATCGTATAAACAAAGACAGGGAAGAATCCCATGAACTCGAAATATGTGTAACCGATGAGATTCGGGCAGAAACACATCATCACTACCAAGTAAACAGATCGGACCGTTTCGGGCCAACTAAATTTAGAGAGACTGAAGTCGAATCGCAAGCAATTAGGTATACAAAACCGAGCGTGATGTCGTGGTCGTTGTGATATTTAGTCGTTAACGCCGCGTTCGGAGTTACAGCCTAGCGTCTGACGTCATCGAGGCGATCTTGGCCCCGCAACGACATTCACCAGCTTCACTCCGATCCCACCATGAGTTCACCGGATATTCATTCGAAGATTCCGACCACCAGCTCGGACACTCACTTATTAATGTGAGTGCAATCGACTCCGAGGATTGGGAGATTCCACGAGTTGATCGTTGATCCAAGAAAAGCAATTCATGCTTCAAAGGAAGCAGTCCGTCGATCGTGGTTCGGACGAGCTGGTTCCGTGTGATTCCGCTCGCTGAGATCTGTCCGCGATCATCCGCTGAGGTGAGGTCCCATGATGATTTCCAGCGGGACTTTCCCTCGGCTGGTTGCCATCTGTACGGCACGATGGCGGCGTCGGCGGCTGGAGCAGCCAGATATCGGGACGCGACCGGTGACGTCAACGCCGAGGAGCCTGGCTTGAATTTCTCAGATGATTTCACGTAGCGCATCACGAATTCTTTATTGCATATATCGCATACTACTCGATAGCTCCAGCTTCCCAATCTTGTTGTAAATTCCTCTGCTCGAGCATCATCATCTGATGCAGCAGCAGCAGCCGCGATGTCGCTCGCTCGGTTGTCATGCGTCGTCGTCCTTCTGTAGTTTTTTCTCTCTTTCACCACCCTGAACAGCAAGTCCATACGCTCCTTCTGGCCATCGACACAACGGCAGATTCCTCTGCTGCGTTTCCACCTTTCTAATCCCGCTGGCGCCAGTGAAGAATTCGAATTTATGTTCCTCGAATCGGTGCTTCGATGACGCCGTCGTTGCTTGTCCTGACACTATGATCAAGAAAAAAATTGACCGACCTCCAGCATTCCACGAGCTCCTCTGTTTCGTCTGTCGAGACCTGCGAGTTCGAACCCTGCGCCCTGACCATCGAGTACTTGTTCGCCCTCATGCGTAACGACAATGCTACCTGCCTCATCCCCGAGGGACAGCGGTGGAGGCGGGTGAATTCCGATCCGAGGATCGGACAGACGCGTCGTCGTCTCGCACGGCTCGTTATCTCCATCATCAAATCAGAATACGTTTCAATAATGAGGCACAGTATTTTTCTTGGAACATTGTTCCACTTGTTGTTGTTGATGTCGAGTTTTTCTGCCGCCGTCACGCTTTCGATGATGTTGCTCTCTCCGATTGATCCTCCAATCGAAGCCTAGCCTTGAGTGGAGGACGCTTTGCCGAGGCGCTAATCGCCCGAAGGCAAGAGCTTCGAGGTTGCAGGATTGAGCCACGTATTAGGATTCTCGGCTCGCTGGAGATCGGAGGCAGTTTAGAGGAGGAATACGAGGGAAAGCTCTTGTTTTCTGGTGAAACGTGGAGCGATCAGAAAAATGTCAACCGTTCGCAACCGTTATGCCCGACAATGATTCGGAATGTAAGCCAAGGCCAGGCCTGACCGAGAAAAACAGAAAACATCCACCGACCATACCGTGCGGAATCCAGGAGCAGGGGCGCCAAGTTACGACATCGACCGTAGTAACGAGAAGGGGCAGGCCAAATTATGATGAAAGGAAACATTGCCACCAGCCCAACCAAGGTGATGTTTCGTTCCATCTCGAAAGGCTTCACAGAAACGTTCCAGCATAGCATCGTGTCGTTTCACGAAGAGCCCACGACATTTTGTCTGAACTTGACAAAGTCTGATGAACCAAAGATTTAGCCTTAAGAAACGCCCACGCTAATGCACGCATGAAAGCTCAAAGAGCTCTTAGTTAGCGTGGTCGCGAGACATTGTACGCCATGAGCTCATCTGAGGGAACGGGAAAAGGGGAATGCGGATTGTCTGGGAACAAATAATGAAAGCCTCCGCAGAATGCGACCTAAGGCGTGTTTTCCTTTCCCACTTTTTCGCAGAGAAAACGCAGGAGCAAGAGAGTGCTTTGAAGTTATCCTGGATAGTCTAAGATGGTGCCGTTTCCTCGGAGGGTCTTGACTCGTTTGAACCCACCGTCACATGAATAAGTTTTGAGACCTTTAGAGGCCGGCAGCGATCGAGTTCCACACATTGAATAATTCTGTACTCTCTTTTCCTGTCTTCCGCCCACCAGCCGAATGCCTCTTCCGCGACCCCTTGAAGCTCCATTACCACGCTCGAAACGCCAGCATGGTGGCCGGAGTTGAATATTCGGATTTCCGGCCGCACGGAATACGAAATCTCATTGCAAATTTTTGCCTCCGAATTTTCTCCTCTAAGAAAGTCGATCCGGACACC